GTACAGACATCCCTGGTACTAGAATCATCTAGCCACATGTTACAGTACAGACATCCCTGGTACTAGAATCATCTAGCCACATGTTACAGTACAGACATCCCTGGTACTAGAATCATCTAGCCACATGTTACAGTACAGACATCCGAGGTACTAGAATCATCTAGCCACATGTTACAGTACAGACATCCGTGGTACTAGAATCATCTAGCCACATGTTACAGTACAGACATCCCTGGTACTAGAATCATCTAGCCACACATGTTACAGTACATCCCTGGTACTAGAATCATCTAGCCACATGTTACAGTACAGACATCCCTGGTACTAGAATCATCTAGCCACATGTTACAGTACAGACATCCCTGGTACTAGAACCATCTAGCCACATGTTACAGTACAGACATCCCTGGTACTAGAATCATCTAGCCACATGTTACAGTACAGACATCCCTGGTACTAGAATCATCTAGCCACATGTTACAGTACAGACATCCCTGGTACTAGAATCATCTAGCCACATGTTACAGTACAGACATCCGTGGTACTAGAATCATCTAGCCACATGAATCATTTACAGTACAGACATCCCATGGTACTAGAATCATCTAGCCACATGTTACAGTACAGACATCCCTGGTACTAGAATCATCTAGCCACATGTTACAGTACAGACATCCCTGGTACTAGAATCATCTAGCCACATGTTACAGTACAGACATCCCTGGTACTAGAAATCATCTAGCCACATGTTACAGTACAGACATCCCTGGTACTAGAATCATACAGACAGCCACATGTTACAGTACAGACATCCCTGGTACTAGAATCATCTAGCCACATGTTACAGTACAGACATCCCTGGTACTAGAACCATCTAGCCACATGTTACAGTACAGACATCCGTGGTACTAGAATCATCTAGCCACATGTTACAGTACAGACATCCTGGTACTAGAATCATCTAGCCACATGTTACAGTACAGACATCCCCTGGTACTAGAAATCATCTAGCCACAGTTACAGTACAGACCACATAGAACCATCTAGCCATGTTACAGTACAGACATCCCTGGTACTAGAATCATCTAGCCACATGTTACAGTACAGACATCCCTGGTACTAGAATCATCTAGCCACATGTTACAGTACAGACATCCCTGGTACTAGAATCATCTAGCCACATGTTACAGTACAGACATCCCTGGTACTAGAATCATCTAGCCACATGTTACAGTACAGACATCCCTGGTACTAGAATCATCTAGCCACATGTTACAGTACAGACATCCCTGGTACTAGAATCATCTAGCCACATGTTACAGTACAGACATCTAGAATCCTAGGTACTAGAATCTAGAATCTAGCCACATGTTACAGTACAGACATCCCTGGTACTAGAATCATCTAGCCACATGTTACAGTACAGACATCCCTGGTACTAGAACCATCTAGCCACATGTTACAGTACAGACATCCCTGGTACTAGAACCATCTAGCCACATGTTACAGTACAGACATCCCTGGTACTAGAATCATCTAGCCACATGTTACAGTACAGACATCCCTGGTACTAGAATCATCTAGCCACATGTTACAGTACAGACATCCACATGTTACTACAGAGAATGTGTACTAGAACCATCCACATGTTACTAGAATCCATCTAGCCACATGTTACAGTACAGACATCCGTGGTACTAGAATCATCTAGCCACATGTTACAGTACAGACATCCCTGGTACTAGAATCATCTAGCCACATGTTACAGTACAGACATCCCTGGTACTAGAATCATCTAGCCACATGTTACAGTACAGACATCCCTGGTACTAGAATCATCTAGCCACATGTTACAGTACAGACATCCCTGGTACTAGAATCATCTAGCCACATGTTACAGTACAGACATCCCTGGTACTAGAATCATCCAGCCACATGTTACAGTACAGACATCCCTGGTACTAGAATCATCCAGCCACACATGTTACAGTACAGACATCCCTGGTACTAGAATAATCTAGCCACATGTTTCAGTACAGACATCCCTGGTACTAGAATCATCTAGCCACATGTTACAGTACAGACATCCCTGGTTCTAGAACCATCCAGCCACATGTTACAGTACAGATATCCCTGGTACTAGAATCATCTAGCCACATGTTACAGTACAGATATCCCTGGTACTAGAACCATCCAGCCACATGTTACAGTACAGACATCCCTGGTACTAGAATCATCTAGCCATATATGTTACAGTACAGACATCCCTGGTACTAGAATCATCTAGCCACATGTTACAGTATAGACATCCCTGGTACTAGAATCATCCAGCCACATGTTACAGTACAGACATCCCTGGTACTAGAATCATCTAGCCACATGTTACAGTACAGACATCCCTTGTACTAGAATCATCTAGCCACATATTACAGTACAGACATCCCTGGTACTAGAATCATCTAGCCACATATTACAGTACAGACATCCCTGGTACTAGAATCATCTAGCCACACATGTTAAAGTACAGATATCCCTGACAAATTAAGAATGAAATATTATGATGATAATAAATATAACAAGTTACATATAGGTATGCAAGCAAGAAAACAAGAACCATCTCCACTGAAGTGAGCCACTACTTTTCAACTGCTCAAAATTAGTAAGAAAATATTAAATTCTCCTTGTGTCTGTCACTCCTGAACCCTTTCTTCTCCTTTGCATTCACTGGCTGAATGTAAACTCCAGCAACAAGTTCTGGGTGTCTGCCCACCTCTGGACAAAGTAAACGTAAAGTCGGGAGATGTGAACCAGCGTCATTGCACACGGTTTATAAACCATAAGTGCTCTGCCACCAGTACGGACAGCTGACAGGAATTGTCCGTCTGTGTCACCGTTCACACGTAACTCTGTAGCCACAGCGACGTTCCTCCATTTACCCCAGAGTGTCAACTCTGGTACCCATTTCCTAGAGGCTGGGTGAACCCCGGGAATCGCCTAGTTTCGAACACCGACCGTGGCTGCAGGGAGTCGCAGCTGGATTTAAAAGCGAGCCTCTTATAGACTGCGCTAACGTGGCCTCGTATCCACCTCTGGACATTAGTCTTATTGCAGAACTTGAGCACTACTTGCACATCTGTCTTACAGACTTAACTGTCTGTCTCATGAACCCCCTCTATGTGTTTGTCTGTCTCATGAACTATCTCTATATGTTTGTCTGTCTCAGGAACTATCTCTATGTGTTTGTCTGTCTCATGAACTATCTCTATGTGTTTGTCTGTCTCATGAACTATCTCTATGTGTTTTTCTGTCTCATGAACTATCTCTATGTGTTTGTCTGTCTCATGAACTATCTCTATGTGTTTGTTCGTCTCATGAACTATATCTTGATGTGTTTTTCTGTCTCATGAACTATCTCTATGTGTTTGTCTGCCTCCTAATGGCTCTTTACGTGTTTATCTTTTGAACTCATAAATTCTCTGATGTGTGTCTTCTGAACCTACCAATGTGTCCGACCTCAGAACCTCCTCATGTGTCTGTCTTCTGAACCTTCCAATGTGTCCGACCTCAGAACCTCCTCATGTGTCTGTCTTCTGAACCTTCCAATGTGTCCAACCTCAGAACCTCCTCATGTGTCTGTCTTCTGAACCTTCCAATGTGTCCAACCTCAGAACCTCCTCATGTGTCTGTCTTCTGAACCTTCCAATGTGTCCAACCTCAGAACCTCCTCATGTGTCTGTCTTCTGAACCTTCTCAGGTGTCTGATCTCTGAACTTTCTCAGGTGTTTGTTCTCTAAACTTTCTCAGGTGTCTGTCCTCTGAACCTTCTCAGGTGTCTGACCTCTGAACTTTCTCACGTGTTTACACTTTAAACCCACTCAGGTGTCCGTATCCCAAATGCTCTCCACTACTGTCCATCTTAAGCAAAACAGACCGTTCAGTGTGTTTTACAATATACAATGTGAACAAACCAGACTTTTCAGAGTACTGAAAATGTTACTACAATCTCAAATACACTGAAATATTGCCAGCAATAAAAGTGGACATCAGAAATAGGGAAAAAAAAAAGGCTACCACTGAAATGAGTTGAATATTTTAACCAGCAGACTAGAATAAACAAAAACGTTTTTGCAGTCAAGGAAGTGAGTCATTGACACTTAGCCGAGCCGTTCAAACAACAGCCGCAGCAACAGCTGCCTTCTGTCAGCATATGTTACATAATCGCAAATCAATTTACTACCTTACATACTGGCACGTACGTTACACATATGGGTAAATCAAGACCGCTCTGCAGTTGATTTACCAAGACAGGATACTCAAGAAAGTTTTACAAAACAACATACCACCGCAGTAATTCAAGACAGATGATGAGAGTACTAATGTTTGACAGAGTATGGTATTAACGTGTGATAGTTAACTGCAGTAACACATGGAATCTTATGCAGCACCACTGCGATGAAATACATGAAAAATGATTTCTTACTGCAGTAGGGGCAATGTATGTATCACTAAAAGCACTGTCAAATTTAAAAAAAAGTTACATCTGAGCAGAGGGGACAGCTAATGGAAAAGACATGACATCTGAGCTGGGAAGACTTAAAAGACATGAAATATGAGTTCAGAGAAGACACGAATATGAGCTCAGGGGCAGTTAACAGATAAGACATGAAAGATGAGCTAAGGGAACTTATGAAACATAACATGTGGGCTAAAAGGGTGGATAACAGATGACAAATGACTGAAGAGGTAAGATGAGACACGACATTTGAGAAATGACATACAAGCACTGGCGATAGCTGATGACTGAGATCAAAAGACATGAGAAACAGCTCAAGAATCTAGGGGGAACAACCAAAAACAAGAACTGAAACCAGCAGAAGAGGTAGGAGTCAAATAACTCGCAGGGCAATGAGAGCAGCAAGCGTCGCATACTGATGGTGTTGTTACAAGACTTGATGATAACAACATGAATTTAGAAGTGTGCACACAAACTGACGATGTTATCAGGACGAGGGCCCTTGAGAGTCTGTGGATGTGTTATTTGTCTCGCCCAAAGATTTCTTCCCCCGGGTCATGCGTTCAAGTTCTGCTGCAGCGTCTCGTGTCACCGCTGCTTTATCTAGGGAGAGAAAGAGAGAGGATAAAAAACATGATGCAGGATAGTGACCAATGATACAGGATAGTGACCAATGATACAGGATAGTGACCACTCATTACATTGTCACCTGCTGTTGATAATCAATCTGTAATATTTTGAGTTGGGTCAACTTAAAAACTGACATCACAGCACTTAGGATACTCCCATAAGTGCTACAGCCTCATCTTCAGCAGCCATAGCAGAATTTCAATTCTGAAGGAACTAGTAACTGTCTGATTGTGTGTCTGTCTTGCTTTACCCATGAATGATGAGTGCTGGCCAGATTCCCTGGTCAGTGTGCTGCAACATTCTCGTGCTGGCCAGATTCCCTGGTCAGTTTGCTGCAACATTCTCGTGCTGGCCAGATTCCCTGGTCAGTTTGCTGCAACATTCTCGTGCTGGCCAGATTCCCTGGTCAGTTTGCTGCAACATTCTCGTGCTGGCCAATTCCCTGGTCAGTTTGCTGCAACATTCTCGTGCTGGCCAGATTCCCTGGTCAGTTTGCTGCAACATTCTCGTGCTGGCCAGATTCCCTGGTCAGTTTGCTGCAACATTCTCGTGCTGGCCAGATTCCCTGGTCAGTTTGCTGCAACATTCTCTTTACTGATCTATTTGTGCCTCCACACTACTCCCTCACTCCCACAGGGCTAGGTCCATATCTAGCCTCTCATGCATCAATCTACCAGCAAGTGGTGCAGAACCAGCTAGTCTATCTGCCTGTTTGTTTACCAACACAGCTGCATACACCAGAGAAAATATCCAAACAATGCTAACTACCTAAATAATTGCCACTCTGCATGGAGCATACCTTTTTTTAAAAATTGTTTTGTGTCTATTACAATCAGGATATACATGAGTAGCGTAAAGCGGCAGTTCACATTTCTGAATACATATTTATAAATAGATAATGAAGGAAAGATTGTGAAGTAAAATCACACAATAGCAGTAAGGTGGGTGGTGGGATTACAGAAAACACAAAGCAGCGTAGGATAAGAGGGATAAGAGGAGGGATTCACTCTAAACCAGTTGTTTTCAACTTTTGGAACCCTGTTGACAGGGAAAATAGGAGAAATATTTTGAGGACCAGCAGTCAACTGAAGCAGAAACAAATAATAATCCATACAGCATTTTGTCAACTGAATCCCAATCACAACTGTCAGTTTCTTCTTATTCTTCTTTGCATTCACCTGCGTTAAACTCCAGCAGAATATCTGGTTGTTCATCCACTTCTGGACTTTACTCAGAACTTGAGTTTTGTGTTTGACAGATCTGGCTTATTTCTATGCAGACTGTTGGTTTCCCACCTCTCAGAAAGATGCACTAACTTTCAAAGGACACCCCCAGTCAGTCGACTCCTATGACATGCTTGCTAGCGAGGCAGTGGCTCTATTTGTTATCCCCCCTCACAACAGCAGCCGCCCAGGAACTCATATGGGGACATTTGTAGCTAATGTTTGTGTGTGTGTGTGTGTGTGTGTTAATGTAATCATATCCATGATTTCAACCAAACCCCAATTATAACATGCTTGTTCAAGTATGGGGCTATGCAGTAAACAGAGCTTCTCCCCCCCCCCCCTCCCCAGAACCCACATGGAGAAAGTATCAAACTGTTTTATATAAGAGTGAAGACAGGAGAGAAGAAACAGCAAAAGGCAAGAAATATAAGAAAGATACCCCCGTGTGGGTTCTGGGGCCCCATTGTGGGGAAAACAAGAATAGACCCACTGCCTCCCCAAAAGTATGTCGTAAGAGTCGACTAATTGGGGAGCTTCCTTTGAAGTCGGAGTGCATCTGCCAGAGAGGCAAGGAACCAACAGTCTGTATTCAAGAGAATGAGATCTGTAAAACTGATGCACACGCAACACTCAGGTTCTGGAGCAGGACTGCAGTTCAGTAGTGGACGAGCAACCAGAACCTTCCGCCAGAGTTTACAACTGGTGAACGTGAAGAAGAAAAAGATAAAATATATATATTAAATATAACATACTAGAAAACATGAATAAGCAGCAGCTGAATACAAAATACTCACACACACAAACATTTCAATAATGGCACAGACATGAAATAAAAATCTATGTGTACAGGCTATCAACTACAAACACACACAAATCAAAGACGTGAGGTTTGAGGTTGGAACAACGGATCAACATCATGGTAGTAACCCATAAGTGCTCCATTCTTCTTCTAACAAGTCTGAGTCCAAAGAAGCTCAGCATAGTGCACAGGCTCTGTAGCACCGGCAAGGATCATAAAAAATGTTTGGTAAATTTTTAACTCAAAATTTTGCCGGGGCAGCGCTGTTAGGCTACTCTTTTTTATTTTCAACTGCCAAGGGATTTTTTACTTGCGCAACAATGCACACGGGCGTCTAATCTCACTATCCAGAGACCAGGGGGCATTACCAGAAGTCAAGTCCACATGAAAAAATCTCAGACTTTACCGGGGACTGAACCCGGAATCTCTAGCATTTTAGGCGGACACCTTGTAGCCTCCATGTAACACAGACATAAACAAAACAAATGGTGTGTATACACATACAGTATAGACATTTATAATTGAGATGAGATTGCAGGCAATATATGAGCTGCTAACAGAAATCATTTAAAAAAGAAAACAGGCAGAAACATACTTGGTCCTGGCTGGCCAGGTGTTTTGCTAAGTAAACTGTTGAAAAAGTTGGCCAACATTCCCTCTGTGGTTCCAGCTTGTGGCTTGCCATCCTGGCAAAATATATCAATTTGTCATCTAATGTTATAAGAGGCAACTTGCAAAACCTCAATTACTTTCATTTTGTTCTCCCCCACACTCTGCTATCCCTCTCTAATCCTTAGCTCCTTGTTTCTTCCTCCCATCTTGTATCTGCCCAGCAAATTTTTAAAGTTTTCCCCTCTCTCCTTCCAACACTTTTGATTCTGACATGGCTCCTTATCAAACTATTGCTCTTCTCTACATTCATTCCTTATTTGGTCTCTGTCCTCTCCATCCTTCCCTTTAAAAAGCTGTTATTCCCCTATTTCTACCCCACTTTCCTCTTGTCTCCCCATCCTTAACCATTTCTATCCCATTTCTTTCTCTCACCTCTCTCTTTTCCTGTTACTCCTGTCTTCACTGCTCTTCATCCCTACCTTCTATCTCCTTTCTTTCCCTATTTCTCCACTCTCCATTTTCCTGTTACTCCTATCTTTCCCCCTCCCTTCTATCTCTCCTCCTATTCCTGAACTGAAATCCCTCCCCCCTCCCCATTCTGTAACATCAAACATTCTCTCCTCTGCATCAACAACAATAATTCCATTCATAAACCAATAAATAAAATATCAAACACGTCCTCTTCCCTCCCTCAACAATAACAACCATTCAAACAACACCTCACCCCCCCCCCCCCTCTTCCCCCCACCAATACTGAAACACTGTGGTGTCCCACCCCAAAAATAAAGAATCTAGCACACAAAGTCAAAGTTCTTCAAGCGTAAGAGACAAGACAGATGATCACTGACCTTGCCCCGGATGGGTGTCCCAGTACTTGGAGGAGCTGGGGATCTTTCTGGGGTCCTCTGGACCCCTGCAGGCCTCTGTTGTCTAGCAGGAGCTGGCTCTGGTTGCTGCAACAGATAAAGAACCAATCAGGACTTCTGTTTACTAGCAAACATTGAAACCATCTTCCTAGGACTTTAAAAAAAAAAAAAAAAAAACTAAGAGCAGTAATGAATAATTCAACAAAGATATTTATAGCTAATCTATTTCACATCTTTCCAGGAACCACAATAAACACTAGCACATTAGAAATATTACAATTACCTGAAATTCAAGCAAATCAAGAAATGAAGAAAAGATGTTGCCATCGGACAGGACATATGGTGAAAAATCTGAGGACAATTTAACTAGAATATCTTCCCACTGGAACAGAGGCACTGAAATAAAGACAAACCAACAAACACAAGGAGAAGGGAGCTAGACAGTGAAGCTAAAAGAGTACATGAGATCAGAAGCGGGCAGCAGTAAAGGATAGGACTTGGTGTAACTGGCTGAGGGACTATGCTCCACTGGGGAAGGGGGGGGGGGGAGAGAGAGGGAGGGGAGTAGAGAGAGAGAGAGAGAGAGAGAGAGAGAGAGAGAGAGAGAGAGAGAGAGAGAGAGAGAGAGAGAGAGAGAGAGAGAGAGAGAGAGAGAGAGAGAGAGAGAGGATAGATGATAACAAACTGTTGTAAACAAACACAAGACCTACTGTGGGTGCACTGCCTGGGGCAGGCTGTTTGGAAAGTTGTGCCTGCATTTTGGCCAGAAAGGCTTGTTCATCCTCGGCCACAATTTCTGCATCTCGCTGTACCACCTGCAAGAAGATCGAGAGACAAGTTGTCAGGCTGGAGGGACTGGAGGGACAAGTTGTCAGGCTGGAGGGACTGGAGGGACAAGTTGTCAGGCTGGAGGGACTGGAGGGACAAGTTGTCAGGCTGGAGGGACTGGAGGGACAAGTTGTCAGGCTGGAGGGACTGGAGGGACAAGTTTTAGGCTGGAGAGAGGGACTGGAGAGGACAAGTTGTCAGGCTGGAAAGCTGGAGGACTGGAAGAGACAAGTGGAGAGAGTCAGGCTGAGAGAGGACAAGTTGTCAGGCTGGAGAGACTGGAGGGACAAGTTGTCAGAGAGGAGGGAAAGTTGTCAGACTGGAGGGAGAGAGTTGTCAGAGAGAGAGGGACAAGTTGTCAGGCTGGAGGGACAAGTTGTCAGACTAGAGGGACAAGTTGAAAGAGAGAGAGAGACAGAAAGTGTCAGGCTGAGAGAGAGAAAGTGAGAGTAAGAAAAGATGAGCATGTTTTGTGTGAGGAGACAGACAAGATAATATGAGGTGATGAGGAGAGAGATGTGAGAGAGAGACAAAGAGATATAAGAGTGAAAGAGACAGAGAGTGTGGAGAGAGAGGACAAGAGAGAGAGAAGAGTGAGAGAGAGAGAGAGAGATAATGACATAAGGAAGCAACTGTTGTAAGGAAAACAAGACTGACTGTCCCGAACACTGCCTGGGCACTCTGTTTGGAAAGTTGTGCCTGTTTGGCCCAAGGCTTGTTCATCTCGTGCTGTTCCAATTTCAGGCATCTCGCTGTACCACCTGAAAGAAGATCCAGAGACAAGTTGTCAGACTGGAGGGACAAGTTGTCAGGCTGGAGGGACAAGTTGTCAGGCTGGGGGGACAAGTTGTCAGGCTAGGGGGACAAGTTGAAATAGCTGGAGGGACAAGCTGTCAGGCAAAAAAGGAACAAGTTGTCAGGCTGGAGGGACAAGTTGTCAGGCTGGAGGGACAAGTTGTCAGGCTGGAGGGACAAGCTGTCAGGCTGGAGGGACAAGTTGTCAGGCTGGAGGGACAGAAGGCTGTAAGAAAAGATAAGCATGTTTTGTGTGAGGAGACAGACAAGATAGGAGGTGATGTTTGAGGAGATAAAAGAACATAATGTGAAAGAAGACAAAGTGTGTGGAAAGAGACAACAACGACCTGTAAGAATACAACAACAATTGAAGAGGAAAATGACATAAGGAAGCAAAAGCTGTGAGGAGAATATTCTTCTTTTTCCCGTACACCAACCGTAAACTCTGGTGTAAAGTTCTGGTTGTTCCCGTACACCAACCGTACTCTGGTGGAAAGTTCTGGTTGTTCCCGTACACCAACCGTAAACTCTGGTGGAAAGTTCTGGTTGTTCCCGTACACCAACCGTAAACTCTGGTGGAAAGTTCTGGTTGTTCCCGTACACCAACCGTAAACTCTGGTGGAAAGTTCTGGTTGTTCCCGTACACCAACCGTAAACTCTGGTGGAAAGTTCTGGTTGTTCCCGTACACCAAGGGTAAACTCTGGTGGAAAGTTCTGGTTGTACAACCGTAAAACACCAACATCGAAAAAACTCTGGTGGACTGAAGTTCATGGTTGTTCCCCGTGCATTCCCAACCGGAATAAACTCTGGTGGAAAGTTCTGGTTGTTCCCGTACACCAACCGTACTCTGGTGGAAAGGTTTGGTGTTCCCGTATACAAAACCGGGTAAACTCTGGTGGAAAGTTCTGGTTGTTCCCGTACACCAACCGTACTCTGGTGGAAAGTTCTGGTTGTTCCCGTACACCAACCGTAAACTCTGGTGGAAAGTTCTGGTTGTTCCCGTACACCAGTACGTAAACTCTGGTGGAAAGTTCTGGTGTGTTCCCGTACAACCTCGTACTCTGGTGGAAAGTTCTGGTTGTTCCCGTATACTAAACCGTAAACTCTGGTGGAAAGTTCTGGTTGTTCCCGTACACCAACCGTACTCTGGTGGAAAGTTCTGGTTGTTCCCGTACACCAACCGTAAAAACTCTGGTGGAAAGTTCTGGTTGTTACGTACACCAACCGTAAACTCTGGTGGAAAGTTCTGGTTGTTCCCGTACACCAACCGTACTCTGATGGAAAGTTCTGGTTGTTCCCGTATACTAACCGTAAACTCTGGTGGAAAGTTCTGGTTGTTCCCGTACACCAACCGTACTCTGGTGGAAAGTTCTGGTTGTTCCCGTACACCAACCGTAAACTCTGGTGGAAAGTTCTGGTTGTTCCCGTACACCAACCGTACTCTGGTGGAAAGTTCTGGTTGTTCCCGTATACTAACCGTAAACTCTGGTGGAAAGTTCTGGTTGTTCCCGTACACCAACCGTACTCTGGTGGAAAGTTCTGGTTGTTCCCGTATACTAACCGTAAACTCTGGTGGAAAGTTCTGGTTGTTCCCATACACCAACTGTAAACTCTGGTGGAAAGTTCTCGTTGATCCCGTACACCAACCGTAAACTCTGGTGGAAAGTTCTGGTTGTTCCCATACACCAACTGTAAACTCTGGTGGAAAGTTCTGGTTGTTCCCATACACCAACTGTAAACTCTGGTGGAAAGTTCTGGTTGTTCCCGTACACCAACCGTAAACTCTGGTGGAAAGTTCTGGTTGTTTGTCCATTTCTAGACTCTAGTGCAGTTCCAGAAACTTAGTGTTGTGTGCACATCCATTCCACAGGTCTGATTAATTTGCATGCAGACTGTTGGTTCCTTCCTTTCATGTAGATGCACTCGGGCTTCAAAGGAAGCCCCCAATTAGTTGACTCTTACGATAAGCTTTTGGGCAGGCAATGGGTCTATTCTTGTTTCCCTCACAATGGGGACCCGGAACCCACACAGGGATAAGGGGGAAATAGATGTGAGAAAAACAAAAAAGAAAATGTTGTCTGGAGTAAGAGATGTCAGGAAAGAGGAAAAAGCTATGTAGAGTAGTGAAGAATATACAGTACAAAAAGAACAAGAAGAAAGTATAGATTCAGTAAATACAAAAGAGATTAAAGCAGTTTTGATCTCATAACCAGGCTGAATTTCAGATCTGTGGACATATCAGGCAGTAACAGACAACAGGTGAGCGCAGGAAAGTTACAGCTCTGGAAAACAGCATCATAAGATATAAACGTCAGCAAACAGGAAACAGAACACAGTTTCAGCAAACAGGAAACAGAACACAGTTTCAGCAAACAGGAAACAGAACACAGTTTCAGCAAACAGGAAACAGAACACAGTATCAGCAAACAACTTCAGAAAATCGAAATCAGCATCAGGAAACAACTTCAGAAAACAGAGTATGAAAACAGCATAGGAAAACAGGCAACAGCATCATAAAACAGATAAACATCAGAAATAAGAAAAGTTAAGTATCTGAAAACAGGAAAGTTACATCAGAAATAAGAAAAGTTACAATATCTGAAAACAGGAAAGTTACATCAGAAATAAGAAAAGTTACAATATCTGAAAACAGGAAAGTAACATCAGAAATAAGAAACATGACAATATCAGAAAACAGGAAAGTTACATCAGAAATAAGAAACATGACAATATCAGAAAACAGGAAAGTTACATCAGAAATAAGAAACATGACAATATCAGAAAACAGGAAAGTTACATCAGAAATAAGAAACATGACAATATCAGAAAACAGGAAAGTTACATCAGAAATAAGAAACATGACAATATCAGAAAACAGGGAAGTCGCACTAGAGAAAACAAGGTAACTACAACATTAAAAAACATAAAAGTTACAACATCAGAAAACAGGAAAGATATGAACTGATGGCTTCCATCAACTTCTGCATTCCAGGAGAGGAATAAGACAAGGGTGAACTCTCCTGCAAAGAGGTACGGCACAGCTGAGGAATTACCTTTCTGGTTGCAGGCTTTGTGATGACCTCCTCAAACGGGTCATCCGGCTTCATGGTTGTCATGTTCTCGTGCAGAATACTAATCTTCTTCTCATTGTCCCATCCCGCCGGCCTGCCAGACAACAAACACAACAACATGAACAACAACGTATTTCCCTGTACCTCGTCGGGGGCATACTACAGTAATAATTACAGAAATGAAGCAGATAATTGAAACCTTTATAATAGGAGTACAAACTGAACAAAAATAAAACATGACTGCCTGTTTTACCAGGGCAGCCTCAATTTCAGAACCATATCGTTCTGTATACAGCATTCAAGGCGCAGGTGTTATAAAGGATTCACTTATCTGATTGATTTATGTAATTGTTACTGTAGTGTGCACCTGACAAGTTACAGCGAAATATGCCAGGCAATAAATTGTGCAGTCTATTGTTTGTGGCTTTTTATTTCCAATTATACAAAGATCATGTTATACTATTCCAACATCAACCTACACTACAAACAAACATCAACCTACACTACAAACATCAACCTACACTACAAACATCAAACTACACTACAAACATCAACCTACACTACAAACATCAGCCTACACTACAAACATCAGCCTACACTACAAACATTAACTTACACAAAGATCAGCTTATACTACACAGACATCAACTTACACGAAGACAGAGTCCTTGTCAACCACCAGTGCCGGAGATGTAAAGGGGAAACCATATATCCTGTGAACCAGGTATCTGTACAATAAATCACAGTTTCTTTCATCCTTGACAGATGTGTAAAACATAGCAGCGCCATCTAGCAACAAGGTCAAGGATGTTAATGTTCAAACACAGATGAGACATATCATCCACACAGATGGGACATATCATCCACACAGATGGGACATATCATCCACACAGATGGGACATATCATCCACACAGATGGGACATATCATCCACACAGATGGGACATATCATCCACACAGATGAGACATCCACACAGATGGGACATATCATCCACACAGATGGGACATATCACCCACACAGATGGGACATATCACCCACACAGATGAGACATATCATCCACACAGATGGGACATATCATCCACACAGATGGGACATATCATCCACACAGATGGGACGTATCATCCACACAGATGGGACATATCCACACAGATGGGACATTTCATCCACACTGACGGGACATATCATCCACACAGATGAGACATATCATCCACACAGATGGGACATATCATCCACACAGATGAGACATATCATCCACACAGATGGGACATATCATCCACACAGATGAGACATATCATCCACACAGATGGGACATATCATCCACACAGATGAGACATATCACCCACACAGATGGGACATATCATCCACACAGATGAGACACATCACCCACACAGATGGGTCATATCATCCACACAGATGAGACATATCACCCACACAGATGGGACATATCATCCACACAGTGCTGGCTTGTTTATCCAAATGTGGGGTTGGCATCATATGCCTAACCTGATGTGAATGTATGTATGTATGTATGTAGTATGTATGTATGTATGTATGTATGTATGTATGTATGTATGTATGTATGTATGTATGTATGTATGTATGTATGTATGTATGTATGTATGTATGTATGTATGTATGTATGTATGTATGTGTAAATGTATGTGTGAATAAATGTATGTATGCACAGGTGGGTGTATGTATAGATGAATATATGTATGTATGGATGGGTGTGTGTACTGAGATGAGCCCCGGGTGGGTTACAGGGCCCCATTGTGAAAAAAAAAAACCCAGAACAGACCCATTGCCTCGCCGACAAGCATGTCATAAGAGTCAACTAACTAGGGGCTTTCTTTGAAGTCACAGTGCATCTGCCTGAGAGGCATGGAACCAACAATCTGCATATAGATAAGCCAGAACTGTAAAATGGATGTGCACACAACTCAGGCTCTAGAACAAGACTGAAGGATGGAAAACCAAAATTTTCCGCTGAAGTTTACAGCCGGTGAACGTGAAGAAGTTGAATAAGTATGAAGATGTACAAATGTTTAAAAAAAAAAACTTCTCCCAACCTATCATGCATACAAGTGAATTCTTCCTCGTACATCATCAAACAACTGTTAAACAGAACAAACCAGAAAGGATACACTTTAAGCAAAACCGCCGAATGTGCTGCTGAATAAAATCGAAATGTTCATCTTTGAAGTCGTGTTCTTTCTCCAACATGGAGATTTCATCACTCTGAAAGAGACCACATTAAACAGTCAAGTCAAGGACCCACTTCCGGGCATAGAGGGCCAGACCTACAATTTATAGACCAATCGGTAATTGGTGGGTGATGTGGTCAGCATCACGCCAGCTGCCTTTACTTCCTAGGACTATACCTGGTACCCACTCAAGGCTTCATCAGCCTGGGAGTCAATTTATGAAAACAGGTCTGGCTTTGTCAAACCCACGACCTATATATACAACAGTGGTAAATTAAAAACTGAAATATATAAAATGGACACACAGAAAACAAATAAAACATTAAACAATATATTTTTTAAAAAAATATACAACATGAAACAAATGAAATATACTGGAAGGACGTACAGAAAACTTAAATATTCAACATGAACATATCAAGTAATGGAACCTTTTCCACACATTTAGGTGTATAGGGTGTGACCAATTTTTTATAGACCAATTTGCACAAGATGGGTGCTGTGGTCAGCATTACGCCGGCCGCCTATACTTCCTGGGACTGCACCTGGTACCCACTAAGGCTGGGTCGACCTGGACACATAAACAAATGCAATATACTGGAAGGACATACAGAAAACTGAAATATAAAAACGGACATACAGAAAACAAAGAAGATATTTAAAAAATGTAAATATACAACATGAACATATATAAACAAATGAAATATACTGGAAGGACATACAGAAAATTTAAATATACAACACAGAAACAAATAACTAATTCGTAAAATGCATCTATAGCATTTACTTTTGAAAGCCTGAATCCTCCTTTCCATTTCCACACTGAGAGTCCAACTCTCACATCCGTATAGAGAAAACAGACAATACCAGTGATTTGTAAATGTTGACCTTTACTGTGATGCTAATTTTGCTCTTCCACATCATACTCAGCTGTGACATCACGGCTGTTCCCATATCAAGTCTTGTCTTGATCTTTTTGGTACAGCTGCCATCGTTGTATATGTGGGAGCCAAGATATTGAAAGATTTCAACTTCTTCTATGTTTTTTCCTTTGATCTGCATGTTGGTAGGCACTTGATTGTTGTGACTATTTACCAGAATCTTGCTTCACTCGGCATTAATTACCATGCCTCATTTACGACAGACTGCCTCTAATTGTGTAGTAAGTTCTTGGAGTTCTGTTTCAGAACCAGCCACGAGATCTGTCGCCTGCAAAACGTAAATTACACAGTTGTCTTCTGCCAATGGATATAAAGGTTTTTTGATTGTCTACTGTTTCTCTCATGATGTGTTTCAAATACAAAATGAAAAGGACAGGGGATAGAAAGCAACCCTGTCTCACTCCCACACTGGAAGGACAGGAGATAGAAAGCAACCCTGTCTCACTCCCACACTGGAAGGACAGGAGATAGAAAGCAACCCTGTCTCACTCCCACACTGGAAGGACAGGAGATAGAAAGCAACCCTGTCTCACTCCCACACTGGAAGGACAGGAGATAGAAAGCAACCCTGTCTCACTCCACACACTGGAAGGACAGGAGATAGAAAGCAACCCTGTCTCACTCCCACACTGGAAGGACAGGAGATAGAAAGCAACCCTGTCTCACTCCCACACTGGAAGGACAGGAGATAGAAAGCAACCCTGTCTCACTCCCACACTGGAAAGGACAGGAGATAGAAAGCAACCCTGTCTCACTCCCACACTGGAAGGACAGGAGATAGAAAGCAACCCTGTCTCACTCCCACACTGGAAGGACAGGAGATAGAAAGCAACCCTGTCTCACTCCCACACTGGAAGGACAGGAGATAGAAAGCAACCCTGTCTCACTCCCACACTGGTCTTGAAAATGTTTTCCTAAGTCACTTTAAATGATTACTGTACTGCTTGCATCTTTAAAAGTGCTTCAATGGTGTCTTTGATGTTCTTTTCAAAGCTGAAATGTCTCATTATTTGCCAGAGCCCATCATGCCACACACACGGTCAAATGCCTTGGTAAAGTCGATGAAGTTATGGCATAGGCTGCGTTGATGTTGCTGAGACTGCTGCCATCTGGTCAACTGTTCACAAGTGATGCATTTTCTGTGTCGTCTTCTGTGGCACAGTGACAGGGCAACTTTGAGCTGACCCATTTTCTGTGTTGTCTTCTATGGCACAGTGACAGGGCAGCTTTGGGCTGACCCATTTTCTGTGTTGTCTTCTATGGCACAGTGACAGGGCAACTTTGAGCTGACCCATTTTCTGTGTCGTCTTCTGTGCCACAGTGACAGGGCAACTTTGGGCTGACCCATTTTCTGTGTTGTCTTCTGTGGCACAGTGACAGGGCAGCTTTGGGCTGACCCATTTTCTGTGTTGTCTTCTGTGGCACAGTGACAGGGCAACTTTGGGCTGACCCATTTTCTGTGTCGTCTTCTGTGGCACAGTGACAGGGCAGCTTTGGGCTGACCCATTTTCTGTGTTGTCTTCTGTGGCACAGTGACAGGGCAACTTTGGGCTGACCCATTTTCTGTGTTGTCTTCTATGGCACAGTGACAGGGCAACTTTGGGCTGACCCATTTTCTGTGTTGTCTTCTATGGCACAGTGACAGGGCAGCTTTGGGCTGACCCATTTTCTGTGTTGTCTTCTATGGCACAGTGACAGGGCAACTTTAGGCTGACCCATTTGCTGTGAAGATGAAACTGAGATAACCTGAATACCTGCTACTTCTAATGGAGTGGCTGAACCAGGTATGCTGGGCTCCAGAAATCCAGGTCTGAATCCTCAGTAAGGTTGTGGATTTGTTTCTGTCAAATCCTAACCTGCACAGTCTGTGTAGTCATGTAGCCCTCAATCTGCAGGATCAAGACTATAATGAAGACAGGTGTTTTTTTTAAAAACCTGCTTTAATCATTTACGACTCACCTTGGTTACAACTACAACAATAGGAATTCCCAGGTTACGTGACAGTGTGAGCTCTCCTAATGGTAAATGGCTCTCCTCCTCTGACCCACTAGCTGGTGGGTGTAGTGGGTTTACCTCTCCCCGTGGAGGAGCCTGCGTGGCTATAGGTCCATCTCCAGGTTCGGTATAGGCTTGGAAGGCTCGAACCACTGGGAAGAGAAAGCAGTCAAGAGATGACAGGAGGCAAGCAGTCAAGTGATGACAGGAGACAAGCAGTCAAGAGATGACAGGAGACAAGCAGTCAAGAGATGACAGGAGACAAGCAGTCAGGAGATGACAGAAGACAAGCAGTCAAGTGATGACAGGAGACAAGCAGTCAAGAGATGACAGGAGACAAGCAGTCAGGAGATGACAGAAGACAAGCAGTCAAGAGATGACACGAGACAAGCAGTCAAGAGATGACAGGAGACAAGCAGTCAAGAGATGACAGGAGACAAGCAGTCAGGAGATGACAGAAGACAAGCAGTCAAGAGATGACACGAGACAAGCAGTCAAGAGATGACAGGAGACAAGCAGTCAAGAGATGAAAGGAGACAAGTAAAGTGATGGTAACTAGTACCTGTGCAGAACAGAGCGGATCAAATGATATGATAGAATGACTAATGTGGGGCACTGGGACAGAAATAAACTTATTCCAGCAAATCAAAAGATGCTGGAATTAGACAGGACATACACTGAGAAAACTTTATAACAATACAATGAAAACACTGTGTTAAATATAACACACTGAGAAAACACATAACAATATAATGAGACCTCCTCAGATAGGAAACACACTGAGAAAACACATAACAATACAATGAGATCTTCTTAGATAGGAAACACACTGAGAAAACACATAACAATATAATGAGACCTCCTCAGATAGGAAACACACTGAGAAAACACATAACAATATAATAAGACCTCCTCAGATAGGAAACACACTGAGAAAACACATAACAATACAATGAGACCTCCTCAGATAGGAAACACACTGAGAAAACATATAACAATATAATAAGACCTCCTCAGATAGGAAACACACTGAGAAAACACATAACAATATAATGAGACCTCCTCAGATAGGAAACACACTGAGAAAACACATAACAATACAATGAGACCTCCTCAGATAGGAAACACACTGAGAAAACACATAACAATATAATGAGACCTCCTCAGATAGGAAACACACTGAGAAAACATATAACAATACAATGAGACCTCCTCAGATAGGAAACACACTGAGAAAACATATAACAATATAATGAGACCTTCTCAGATAGGAAACACACTGAGAAAACACATAACAATACAATGAGACCTCCTCAGATAGGAAACACACTGAGAAAACACATAACAATACAATGAGACCTCCTCAGATAGGAAACACACTAAGAAAACACATAACAATACAATGAGACCTCCTCAGATAGGAAACACACTGAGAAAAACACATAACAATATAATGAGACCTCCTCAGATAGGAAACACACTGAGAAAAAAAACATATAACTAAATACAATGAGACCTATCAATCAGATAGGAAAACACACTGAGAAAACACATAACAATATAATGAGACCTTCTCAGATAGGAAACACACTAAGAAAACACATAACAATACAATGAGACCTCCTCAGATAGGAAACACACTGAGAAAACATATAACAATATAATGAGACCTTCTCAGATAGGAAACACACTGAGAAAACATATAACAATATAATGAGACCTTCTCAGATAGGAAACACACTGAGAAAACACATAATACAATGAGACCTCCTCAGATAGGAAACACACTAAGAAAACACATAACAATACAATGAGACCTCCTCAGATAGGAAACACACTGAGAAAACATATAACAATATAATGAGACCTTCTCAGATAGGAAACACACTGAGAAAACCTGAGAACAATACTAGACCTCCCTTGGACAGGACACACACTGACAAACCTCATAACAATACAACTAAACATCCCTTAGACAGGAAACACACTGAGAAAATCTTATAACAATACAATGAGACCTCCCTTAGATAGGGCACACACTGAGAAAACCTGAGAACAAAAGACCTATCTTAGATAGAACACATACTAAGAAAACCTCATAGCAATAAAACAAGTCTTCCCTTAGATAGGATACACAAACCTCATAACAATACAACTAGACATCTGTTAGATAGAACACACACTGAGAAAACCTTTTACAATACAATGAGACCTTCTCAGATAGGGCACACACTGAGAAAACCTGAGAACTATATAAAGAGACCTTCCTGGAACCCACAAGATCAAAGTGCTAAAAAGCTCCACTTGCCTTTTATAACAACATTTTAAGGCAACAATTTTACTTTAGAAACTGCAGCATCTATTAAATTATACTAAAACAACAGAATCTACTAAAAGACAGACATTCTACAATAGAGACACAGAATCTATTAAAGAGTAAACATTCTATTGCGCCTGCACACACACATACACAAAGCGGCTTCTATTAAAAGGTAAAACTTTTACTATAGAAATGACTGAATACATTAAAAGGTTACATTAAAAGTTAACTTCTGTAGCTGCCGTCTGCTGCACTCACAGTGCAAATATTGACCCAGGAAATAAGCGGTTCAAATTACAATAGAGTAATAAAACCAGAAAACAAATTTGACTTTGAAAAATCTGGCTGGCAGATGTAGCTATGAACTGAATGGTTTCTAACAGCCAGAGGTTACAGCAAAACTGGCGACAGCTGGCCTGCATGCAGATCAATCAATACTTGTCATACCATGAAGTTTATAAGCAAGCTGGCAATAAGAAAATCACAACAGCGGAAACAGGTTTGACAGGCACAGACAATTAATAAAACGGGCTCCTGGCGCTGTCCTACATATGTCTGCTTGAGGCAATATCCTAATTTTCTCTTAAATAATGTTCAGCACCCTGCCGGTTCATGTCATTATTTCATAATATTTACTGTCTACTCAAGTCTGTATCTTCGACTCTCATTTTATTTCTGTATTTACTCAGACAATCTGTATCTAATGTGTGTCTTGTGCTTCTTCTTCTTGTAAACTTTATCCCTCAGTGAAACAGATCTCTTTGCATCAAGCTGTTTTACCCTTTGCTCTTATGTTCAATGCACCCTTTCTATACTAAAACTACTGTCTGTCTTTACCCTATTCTGTGATGTAGGCAGAAGAATCTTCGGGCCACATGACCACGGACCGTGCAAGTTTTTTTTCCCTGCCCTCTACTGTTCAGCCCGTGGCCTCACATTCTATGTACTCCCCATCTTTTTTCACCTCACTGAATAATTCTCTTCTCCACAATTTTTGTTTTCATGGTCAGCCTTCATTGCTCTGACCCTGTGGTTTCCGTGCAAAGACATTCTGATTATATCTTGTATGTGTCAGCCGGAGATTTTATGCAACTAATCTCTTAAAAAATATTCAGCTCCCTGTGGAGCAGAGACTTCCCTGTTAAGTTCACATGATGATGCCATCTTATCTGCTATCAATTGAAGTTTCTGTCTTTATTCTGTATTTAGAGAAAAAAATCTGATCTGACAAACCATACAACTGTTGCCTTTAATAATACTGAGCTCCCAGTGGTGCAGAGATGTTTCTGATCTGACAAACCATACAACTGTTGCCTTTAATAATACTGAGCTCCCAGTGGTGCAGAGATGTTTCTGATCTGACAAACCATACAACTGTTGCCTTCAATAATACTGAGCTGCCAGTGGTGCAGAGATGTTTCTGATCTGACAAACCATACAACTGTTGCCTTCAATAATACTGAGCTGCCAGTGGTGCAGAGATGTTTCTGATCTGACAAACCATACAACTGTTGCCTTCAATAATACTGAGCTGCCAGTGGTGCAGAGATGTTTCTGATCTGACAAACCATACAACTGTTGCCTTCAATAATACTGAGCTGCCAGTGGTGCAGAGATGTTTCTGATCTGACAAACCATACAACTGTTGCCTTCAATAATACTGAGCTCCCAGTGGTGCAGAGATGTTTCTGATCTGACAAACCATACAACTGTTGCCTTCAATAATACTGAGCTGCCAGTGGTGCAGAGATGTTTCTGATCTGACAAACCATACAACTGTTGCCTTCAATAATACTGAGCTGCCAGTGGTGCAGAGATGTTTTCTGATCTGACAAACCATACAACTGTTGCCTTCAATAATACTGAGCTGCCAGTGGTGCAGAGATGTTTCTGATCTGACAAACCATACAACTGTTGCCTTCAATAATACTGAGCTGCCAGTGGTGCAGAGATGTTTCTGATCTGACAAACCATACAACTGTTGCCTTCAATAATACTGAGCTCCCAGTTTGCAGAGATGTTTCTGATCTGACAAACCATACAACTGTTGCCTTCAATAATACTGAGCTCCCAGTGGTGCAGAGATGTTTCTGATCTGACAAACCATACAACTGTTGCCTTCAATAATACTGAGCTCCCAGTGGTGCAGAGATGTTTCTGATCTGACAAAACCATACAACTGTTGCCTTCAATAATACTGAGCTCCCAGTGGTGCAGAGATGTTTCTGATCTGAAAAACCATACAAACGTTGCCTTCAATAATACTGAGCTCCCAGTGGTGCAGAGATGTTTCTGATCTGACAAACCATACAACTGTTTTGCCTTCAATAATACTGAGCTCCCAGTGGTGCAGAGATGTTTCTGATCTGACAAACCATACAACTGTTGCCTTCAATAATACTGAGCTCCCAGTGGTGCAGAGATGTTTCTGATCTGACAAACCATACAACTGTTGCCTTCAATAATACTGAGCTCCCAGTGGTGCAGAGATGTTTCTGATCTGACAGATGATGTGAAAGTTTTCATGCTATCTGGTTTCCACTTCATGTGGCCTCTTTACTTTTTATACCTCTCATAATAAATCAGAGATTGTAATTTGCATACATCTGCTCGAGACATTAACATTTATTCAACTCTTCTCGAAAATAACGCTCAGTTCCCTGCTGGTTCATGTTAGATTATCTGGTTCCCTTCAAGTTTGTATCTTTATGCTTTATTTGATCTCAGTCTACATCTGCTCTGACAATTTGTCTGAGGTTTGTCTGCTTGATATCAAAATCTCATGCTAAGCTGTTATGTTTTTTACTATCCACTTCAGCTTGTCTTTTGTGAAATCCAAGCCTTCAGAAATAACCAGATGATATAATTAGATGAAACTTGTGCCTTCAAATGACTAAGTGATACGCTGAGGACTGGAAGATAAGTCTTAGACATGACTAAGTGATACCCTGAGGACTAGAAGATAAATACTGAGACATGACTAAGTGATACCCTGAGGACTAGAAGATAAGTCTGAGACATGACTAAGTGATACGCTGAGGACTAGAAGATAAGTCTGAGACATGACTAAGTGATACCCTGAGGACTAGAAGATAAGTCTGAGACATGACTAAGTGATACCCTGAGGACTAGAAGATAAGTCTGAGACATGACTAAGTGATACCCTGAGGACTAGAAGATAAGTCTGAGACATGACTAAGTGATACCCTGAGGACTAGAAGATAAGTCTGAAACATGACTAAGTGATACCCTGAGGACTAGAAGATAAGTCTATTACCAAGTGAGACCATAGGTACCAGAAAAATCTGATACATGAAAAGTGATACCCTGAGGACTAGATGATAAGTCTGAAGCATGACTACAAGATATCCTGATGTAGCTAGAATAATATCCAAACTGAGACTAGGTGGATTAAAATTGAAACATATAAAGTTGGACAGAGGACTACATGACTACCTGTGATGTGACCCTCCCATATCCTGAGATGTGACCCTCCCATATCCTGAGATGTGACCCTCCCATATCCTGAGATGTGACCCTCCCATATCCTGAGATGTGACCATCCCATATCCTTAAATGTGACCATCCAATATCCTGAGATGTGTCCATCCCATATCCTGAGATGTGACCCTCCCATATCCTGAGATGTGACCCTCCCATATCCTGAGATGTGACCCTCCCATATCCTGAGATGTGACCCTCCCATATCCTGAGATGTGACCCTCCTATATCCTGAGATGTGACCCTCCTATATCCTGAGATGTGACCCTCTCATATCTTGAGATAAGACCCTCCCATATCCTGAGATGTGACCCTCCCATATCCTGAGATGTGACCCTCCCATATCCTGAGATGTGACCCTCCCATATCCTGAGATGTAACTATCAATATCCTGAGATGTAACTATCAATATCCTGAGATGTAACTATCCCATATCCTGAGATGTGACCATCCCATATCCTGAGATGTGACCATCCCATATCCTGAGATGTGACCCTCCCATATCCTGAGATGTGACCACCCCATATCCTGAGATGTGACCATCCCATATCCTGAGATGTAACTATCCAATATCCTGAGATGTAACTATCAATATCCTGAGTGTAACTAAAACCCTGACATGTGACTATCCCGTATCTTGAGATGTGACTATCTAGTATCCTGAAACGTGACCACAAAATAAACACAGATTTGGCTTAAATATCCTGAGCACAAAAACAAACAGAAGACGGTTCAAAACTATCAAACAAGGAAGACGGCCAAACTTACAGCTCTGCTCATATTCTCGCATCACATCAGGTGGGATCCTCAACTTGTGGATATGCTCCGCAAGCACCTCAACCCATTTGTTGAGTGTCTCCATGACAGACCACGGCTGAGCCATGGAAACCACCAGCATGGCCAGGGTGTCGCTGAATGTCTCCTCCTTCAGGGCATACTTCAGCAGGCCCGTGTGATGAGGGTCCCCGTCAAGCACCCAGACATTCAGCCTTGCTTGTTCTGTCAACAACAGAAACGATGTTTGAGGTACTGGCGACTGTCTTTACGAAGATTTTTTCTTATGAATGTGTCTTTAATGCCAGCAAGCAGCCTTATAACAGACTTTCAACAAACACAAGTGTATCAAACAAGTGTATCCAAATGAATCATCAAATTGTCTGACAGCAAACATACTTGCCCCCAAATAGCTTAACAAGAATTTTACTACAGCAAAGCTGCTTGGAACAACCAGCCTCAAAAAGCCTTACAGCAAAAATGACTAATGTTATGAGATCTTTTAGAGAGTTTAGTATAGCCGGTTAGAGAGTATAGCAGACATCAGAGGGAATCCTAAATTATCAGTAATTATTGGTGAAACACCAGGCAGGAAACCTTCAGCCAAATTCAAGATATCCCCATACGAGAAAGCTGGAAATGCAAATAAGCTGAAGTTCCTGTGAAACAGTGGGGACAGAAATGAGGGAAAGGAAGTAGCTGAAACAGAGAGACAGTGAGATCAATCAATCTGTGTGGAATACCTGGACAAATAAGGTGTGTATGTAGCTATTAGAATGATTTTGTGAACAACAGCGGCAGACATCAACGGAGAAGATCTGGCCACAAAGAGGCATCAAGAAGATGGAAGGAAGCCCACTGAGTGCCAAGTGAATGAAACACAGATTGGGAGAAGCTGACAGCCAGTTTGAGAAAATGGAGCTGTGACAGAGATGGTGTCACTTGACAGAATAGCTCATAAACATTTCTTTAACAAAAGTGTGTGCTGCCCATCTCTTACGAACATGTCATGTGTGTAGTCACAATTCATCTACTTTTCTGGGATGGTTAAGGTCCAAGGCAGTGCTGGATAAAAGGAGCACTGCGCTAGATCCGCCAGCCTCACAACAGTCTTACAGCCAACATGCCTGGATCAGTCAGCTTCACAACTGTCATACAGCCAACATGCCTGGGTCAGTCAACCTCACAACAGTCATATAGCCAACATGCCTGGATCAGTCAGCCTCACAACAGTCATACAGCCAACATGCCTGGATCAGTCAGCCTCACAACAGTCATACAGCCAACATGTCTAGATCAGTCAACCTCACAACAGTCTTACAGCCAACATGCCTGGATCAGTCAGCTTCACAACTGTCATACAGCCAACATGCCTGGGTCAGTCAACCTCACAACAGTCATATAGCCAACATGCCTGGGTCAGTCAACCTCACAACAGTCATACAGCCAACATGCCTGGATCAGTCAGCCTCACAACAGTCATACAGCCAACATGTCTAGATCAGTCAACCTCACAACAGTCTTACAGCCAACATGCCTGGATCAGTCAGCCTCACAACAGTCATACAGCCAACATGCCTGGATCATTCAGCCTCACAACTGTCATATAGCCAACATGACTGGATCAGCCAGCCTCACAACAGTCTTACAGCCAACATGTATGGGTCAGTCAGCCTTAATCCAATGAGATATAGAAAGGGCAATCAGCCTTACAGTATAAAGATCATGAAAAAAAGGTGCTTCAAAGACATTTCTTTTCAGCTGCTGAAAGAACACAGGATGTAACCAATCCCTGGCACATGGTCAAATATAAATACTGAATCAACTGTGAAATACATCACTCTAGAAACACCATTCATCTATGTGTTTTCCATGAGAGACAGAAAATAAACAACAAAACGTACCATCTCTATATAACACCATTCATCTATGTGTTTTCCATGAGAGACAGAAAACAAACAAGAAAACGTACCATCTCTATATAACACTATTCATCTATGTGTTTTCTATGAGAGACAGAAAACAAACAAGAAAACGTACCATCTCTATATAACACCATTCATCTATGTGTTTTCCATGAGAGACAGAAAACAAACAAGAAAACGTACCATCTCTATATAACACCATTCATCTATGTGTTTTCCATGAGAGACAGAAAACAAACAACAAAACGTACCATCTCTATATAACACCATTCATCTATGTGCATCTCTATATAACACCATTCATCTATGTGTTTCCCATGAGAGACAGAAAACAAACAACAAAACGTACCATCTCTATATAACACCATTCATCTATGTGTTTCCCACGAGAGACAGAAAACAAACAACAAAACGTACCATCTCTATATAACACCATTCATCTATGTGTTTTCCATGAGAGACAGAAAACAAACAACAAAACGTACCATCTCTATATAACACCATTCATCTATGTGTTTCCCATGAGAGACAGAAAACAAACAACAAAACGTACCATCTCTATATAACACCATTCATCTATGTGTTTTCCATGAGAGACAGAAAACAAACAACAAAACGTACCATCTCTATATAACACCATTCATCTATGTGTTTTCCATGAGAGACAGAAAACAAACAACAAAACGTACCATCTCTATATAACACCATTCATCTATGTGTTTTCCATGAGAGACAGAAAACAAACAACGAAACCTACCATCTCTATATAACACCATTCATCTATGTGTTTCCCATGAGAGACAGAAAACAAACAACAAAATGTACCATCTCTATATTCATCTTTGACATCAATGTAATAATACTCCAGGCCAGAACCTTTCTTGGGTTCCTCGACGCCCTGAAGTTTGGCTATGAGAGTTGTCTTGCCGGACTCATTGTCACCTGCAATACAACAGACACAGTCAATGAAAATATGCAGGACCTCATCTTTGCAATCAATCAAACAGAATGTCCTTTAAAGAATCTCATTCTTTTCATGGCATGCCTGACAGTCCCCCTTCCTCTAGGCAATTCTACAGCCCTATGTGCTTTCATAGCCAGAGCAACGTAAAAGCCTTGTTAACTTCACAGAAATCGGCGTCTGTCTCGTTTTCTGGAAACTGCACACTCTATCACGGTTTTCTTTCACATGACTCTATTTACTCTGAAGAAAGTTTTGTATAATCTGTGACATGGCTACAGGCATCTCGAAAAGCAAGTTATATGTCAACTGTAAGATAGTTATTAGAAAATCTCTTGCAGAAAGTTCTTTTATATGTGATATAGCTAACTGCATCCCTTACAGTAAGTTCTATGTCATTTGTGCTATAGCTACAGGGATCCCTTTTCGCAAGACCTATGTCATCTGTGCTATAGTTACTTGTATCACTTTCAGCAAGTTCTATGTCATCTGTGCTAGAGCTACTTGTATCACTTTCAGAAAGTTCTATGTCATCTGTGCTATAGCTACTTGTATCACTTTCAGCAAGACCTATGTCATCTGTGCTATAGCTACCTGTATCACTTTCAGCAAGTACTATGTCATCTGTGCTATAGCTACTTGTATCACTTTCAGCAAGTTCTATGTCATCTGTGCTATAGCTACTTGTATCACTTTCAGCAAGTACTATGTCATCTGTACTATAGCTACTTGTATCACTTTCAGCAAGTTCTATGTCATCTGTGCTATAGCTACTTGTATCACTTTCAGCAAGTACTATGTCATCTGTGCTATAGCTACTTGTATCACTTCAGATTAATACCGGTACCATAAGTACTGGAACTCTGTTCTGGCTGCTGAAGATGAGGACGGAGCATGCATGGGAATGTCCCGAGTGCTGTGATGTCAATTTTTGACTCAACTCAACTTGTATCCCTTTCAGTAAGTTCTATATCATCTGTGCTATGGCTACACATATCCATTTCAGTAAGTTCTATATCATCTGTGCTATAGCTACATATACCCCTTTCAGTAAGTTCTATGTCATCTGTGCTATGGCTACACATATCCATTTCAGTAAGTTCTATGTCATCTGTGCTATAGCTACATATACCCCTTTCAGTAAGTTCTATGTCATCTGTGCTATAGCTACATATACCCCTTTCAGTAAGTTCTATATCATCTGTGCTATAGCTACATATACCCCTTTCAGTAAGTTCTATATCATCTGTGCTATAGCTACATATACCCCTTTCAGTAAGTTCTATGTCATCTGTGCTATGGCTACACATATCCATTTCAGTAAGTTCTATGTCATCTGTGCTATAGCTACATATACCCCTTTCAGTAAGTTCTATGTCATCTGTGCTATAGCTACATATACCCCTTTCAGTAAGTTCTATGTCATCTGTGCTATAGCTACATATACCTCTTTCAGTAAGTTCTATGTCATCTGTGCTATAGCTACATATACCCCTTTCAGTAAGTTCTATATCATCTGTGCTATAGCTACATGCATTCCTTTTAGAAAGTTGTATACTGTTCAACAACAAAAAATGAAACGCATAGTTATCTGATAGCGCGTTTTTTTAGTTTGTAAATAAAAAACCGTACTTAGGTATGTGAAAAGCAGACTCAAATAATGTTTACTGTGTCTAATGGACATGTGGGCGTGAATTGCGTGGGTTTTTGTAATCATTACAACGCAGTGGTCAAATGTGTTTAAGACCATATTTGTGAGCATAGCTCACGATGCGCGCACGAGAAAGTAACACAATTTGCGGTGAACACTATTCACTGCCAACGTAATTGAAACCCGATAAAAGGATAACGCTACACAAAAACGATCAGTTCATTTTCAAGCAGTCATAAATGGCGCTTCTATCGATACATTTAAGGAATGTTGCTATTGGCCGATTGCAGGCAGTAGAAATTCGAAGTCAGGTTGCCAAGCATCTATCTAAACGTGCATCAGAGTACCACCAGTCGACTTTGGTACCGGTTCGAAACCACTGGTTCAGTTGAAGACCGACATCGCAGCGGAGAATAGCTTTATTCGGCTTTGTCACCTCAGAGACAGGTTTACAACAGCTTCCTCAACTGCACAGGCGTTGCCTCCAGGACGTCATCTGTCTGATCAAACTTTGGAACAGACTGCATGATGTTGGCCTTCAGGTGTACTGGGCATGTAACGTTAAACCTATACTTTATAGTCCAATCGGCAACTGGTGGGTGATGTGGTCAGCACAATGCCAGCCACCTTTACTTCCCAGGACTGCATCTGGTACCCACTCAACCCTGAGCTGACCTGAAAGCTATGGTTATTTTTTAAAATAAAGTCTAGCTTAATCAGGATTTAAACCCATGACCTTCTGATCCACAGGAGAGCATCCAGTTGCAACAACAAATTGTCTTATTGTGATTTTGTAAGGCAAACAACAATAAGACATACCTAGGACGAGAACAGTACGAGTTGTGGGTAACTTTGATGAAGAACTTGACTGCACTTCACTGAGAATGTCAGCCCTGCAATCATAGACAACTGTACAAACATACTGTACAAAACATTTGTATTTCTGAACTACCATTTACTCAACATATTTTTGTCAGTCAAGAAGAATATAAACAATTTTACATTTTCCATGTGGGTCCATTGGGGGCGATGGGGGGGGGGGGGGGGGGGGGAGGTTGCAAAGAACAGCCAATCCTAGCCTAACAGGTATGTTGTAGAAGGTGACTAATCAGGAGTGTTTCCTTCAAAGTCTGAGTGTATCTACCTGAGAGGTGAGAAACCAACAGTCTGCATAAAAATTAATCAGACCTGTCAAATGGATGTGACCAAAACACTCAAGTTTTGGAAGTGGATGCACAACCAGAACTTTCTCTCAGAGTTTACAGCAAGTGAACATTAAGAAGAAGAAAGCAATTTAAATTTTTCAGTTGTAAATTAAAATACAGAAGATATAAACTGACCAAACTTTACTGAGAATATGCAACAAACAGCTAAGCTTTATTATTACACACTCAAAAATGTAAACTGAACATTTACATGCAAATAAAAACAAGTCATCATTATTATCATTGTGGATTATCCTCATCATTATCATCGTCATCTACATTTGCAAGACACCTATCAAACAGCCCTCATGCTGCTATTGTCACTCATATTGTCTGCTAATTATTCCAAAACAAGGTGTTTATTACCGACAGGAACTGTCAAGCATATAAACTAAACAAAGATCAAATGCATTCTCGCTCAACATGGTGTAAATCAGCTGTAGTGTATCCGCATACTGTTATTTTATTTGTACATATCTCATTCTGTGAATCGCCGGCGGATAACTAACTAAAAAAAATGTAAATGAAAATCATTTTCAAAATGCCTGTGTACCTTTGCTTCAAACAAGTCAGTAAAAGTTTAGTCTGGACAAATAATACTGTAAATAAGAAGGCTCTATCTAGTAATGCCCCACATCCAGCAGAAAGAGATTCTATGAGTACAACATAACATATATGATATCAAAACTATTCCCCGATCAATCGTAAACATCCTAGGAACTGTGTCTTGATAAATTCAATTATCATAACTGAACTGTAGCAGTCAGTTGGGGGTCAGGTCCGGTCGCGGTAAAATAATGCTTCTGGACCAAACATGCAACCACTTAGCCTAGCAACAGACGGTTTGTGTACTGATGGAACATACATAAAAGAGCACTAACCATAAGTTCTCGGCATCATCAGAGCTAGAATCGCCGTTGAGATTGCCCATCCTGTCATCGTTCTCACGGATGGGCGCCATATTGCATTTATTGAGAACTCAGTGTGTGTCTAGTGCGCATGCGTGGAGATACGGAAGAGCTCACGTCAGGATGATTCATTCATGACGTCATCAGTCTTTCGGGCACTATTTACATATATGTATGTATATTATACATATATAAGTGGTGAGTACCGGCACCTTTTAAAGACAGTCTAGGTGAGTGCAGGTGCTGCCAGTTTTGGTGTTACCCTAGACAATAAGCCCCTATTTATATTTAGCAATGATGACCATCAAGGAAGATTGGCTAATAAACAGCATCCTTTCTCGAAAGCTGAAATATTTTGGTCATATCAAACGCCACGACGGATTAGAAGAAATTATAGCAGAAGGCATGGTACCAGGAGGAGGAGGGGCAGGGGCCGACCGATACGAAGATGGGCACAGGATATAAGTGACTCCTTGAGTGTGAAAGTTCATGAGGCGGGAGAACTGGCGAGAGACCAAGTTTTTTTCAGCGGACTGTGATGAGAGAGACGTTCTGCAAAGGACCTTCTACATGATGATGAATGATGACCATCCAAAACTCACGGTCATCTGACATTTTGATGAACTTGGGTGTTGCGTATATTTTTCAGCATTCTTTTCTTGAAGTTCGTTGCTGTAGATATCACCACAGGCGCCGGACTTGTGTGTATGTGTTTTGTTTAAAGCTGTTTATTTTCGAGCGACTATTCTTGACTGGAAATGACTTGATCTAGAA